AATCAGTAATCAAGCAATGCCATAAAATCTTCTTGATATACTCTCCTTCACTCAATTTCTGCCTAACTCGATCTTCTTCCCAACTCCATGAAAATCCAGGCTGCTTGGACCATTCTCCTCATACAAATTTTCCAAATTTACCGTCCTATCTCGACATCCTCCCTAAGTCCATGGCCCCTTCAATATTGAATTAGGAAGAGAAGACTGTAAAATCATTTGAATAAGATTGCCATTAAGCACTCTAGATTTAAGACTGTTGTTCAAGACTTCTTTCAGCTATTTTTATGAAGATCGCTATCTATTAAGGAATACAAATAACCTCTGTCAGGTATTTTATTTATTATACCTTACGATTATAAATTATTGCAGACCAATAAGGTAATTTTCTGAACATCTCCAATAGATCATCAATAAAAAAACATTCTTAGATATTCACTCAAAATGCCATGTTGGTCAGTAATTTTTAAAAGATCTTCAGATGATCAAGTCCTCTGGTTGTTTGTTCAAGGCGTTAGGTTTATCAGGTACTAGATCTACATCCACCCAGCAACCCTAATATCATCTGTCATATATTCTTTCGTAATATCATGTTGCTCAGACATGATTTCTAAAATCTTTAGGAGGATAAAAATCTCTGTAAAATCTTCTGGGTGGCTTTTCAAGATTTCAGAATCATCTGCATTTAACGGTTAGCAGTTACTAGTGTCAGTGATAAAAAAAAATGCACGACGCCCAAAACTTCACTCACTGATACTGCCTAGAACATTAGTTGGCTTGTCTTTCCTCATGAAGAGGCCTGCGCACATCCACAATTTTGAGTGGATCCATGAACACTAGAGTGATGCAAAATTTGAAATTTTCGCTCCACAATACTTAAATGATTCCAAATCGGATCCTGACTAACCTCTCAAAATTTGAACCCATTTGGTGAGAAACTGAGATGGCACAAACCATTTGAAGTTTGTATGGGAATTACTATGGTAAAACCAAGATTTTTGCTCATGTCTATCTAATAATTCACCACATCGATCTGTTTCAAAAGCTTTCAATTATGCTTGTAGGAAATTTTCCCAGCTACAACTTTGCTAAAGACCACTTTTTGATTAAATGCAAGGATCGAAAGTTATTCATGGTTCAATGCACTGATGTCTTATGATCATGCTCAATCAACTGCTCAGCAGGCAACATTGGTGTTTCTGGGGCGTTGAATAGGACACAAAAATCATGGCTACTATGTCACACTGCAAAATACAGTGTTGCCTACAGAGCAGCTGCTTGATCATGTCATAAGTTTACCAATCTCTTAAATATTTAATAACTTTTTCCTGTCTCGTTTTACATAGAAATAATCTTCATCAAAGTTGTAGCTGAGAAAATTTTCTATAAGAATGGCTATCGAACGGTTTCGCAGCTCAATATGGAAAAAGACTAGAAGGCAATGAACAAAAAGTTGAGATTTCCCATAGTAATTTACATGTAAACTTCAAATGGTTTGTGCGAAGTCTGTTTCTAACCAAATGAGTTGTAACTTTTGGAGGCTAATCAGGACCCGATTTGAAACCATTTATGCACTGTGGAGCGATAAAGTCAAATTTTGCATCAGTCTAATGAACACTCTATGCGCTCATTTGATGCTTTGAAGCCACCCATAGTTTTGAGTGAATCCATGAACGCTAGGGTGTGTCATGTGTGTAGGTCTCCAACAACTGCCAAATTTGATCTAATTTGGGTATGATCTGGATTTGCGCGAGAATTTTAAATTTTGTATGGGAAATTGTAAGAGAATAAGAGAAAACTATTAATTTGCATGACATAAATTCAAAAATAGCTCAAATTTCACCAAACCTTGAACATAGATGAACATTTGTGTTAATAGGGAGTGGAATATATTTGAGAATCTCTAATCGGCAATATAAAGTAAATATTATGTGAAAATGGAAATACAATTAAACAAATACAAAAGAAAAGATCTCACCAAAATTATCTGCAAGAATGCTGTCTTTCCATGTTTTCGAAACTGTTCCATGTATCATTCTTGCCACTACTCTCCAGCACGCGTTTTTTTTACACCGAAGCATTGAGGCCATTAACCACCATTTGCATACGTTACTTAATTGGAAGCTAACTGCAGAATTCGCAGCAGAATGCGCTGACCCTCCGGTGCTTGGAGTGCATCTGATCACCAATATCATCATAGAACGATTAGAAAACCCAGCACCTCTGACGCAAGCATCGAGTGCTTCTGCTCACAAACACAGAAGAAAGAGAAAATATACACGATCGCTTATAAAATCATACAACGCGTAAATAAATTGAAATTCAGAGCTATCACTCGCGATTCATTAAATTTCTGGTTCGGGAACACAAGCGAGAAAACCACCATGCACACACGTACAACCGTCCGGGAGGCAGAGTGCCAGCGCTAATCAGGCAAATAGCCGAGAACTATGGAAGCGAACGCACGCACAAAACAGAGAGCAAACTTAAAACACATCCGTATCCGAAGGGGTTCGAAACTCTATCACGATGCAGAACAACTTTGTCTGAGATCGCAAATCAATTTGACTTCTGAGGAAAACTTTAATATTATTTACTTTAGGTCTAGTATTCCGAGCATGCCTACAGGAGTACATACATATGAGCTTGTAGGTATGTGCTGAGCACTTGGTCTAAAGTAAAATAATATAAATTTGTTGTCTAGAAGTTGAATCGATTTACAGTTCTCGACAAAGTTTTTTCGCTTAGTTTACTCAATCTATATCGGACGTTTGGTCAGAATTGCGTTAGTTTTGAATTATTGGCAGATATCTGAACAGAGTTATCCTGAAAATAAAAATCTTAACCAAATTCGATCAAATTGTTCACAGCTGTGGGGAGCAAGGGGTTGTTAAGTTGACTCACTCTAGTGTTCATGGATCCACTCAACAATGTGATTGGCTTCAAAGCATTAGCTGAGGGTATAGAGTGCTGTTAGATCCACCCAAAATTGTGGATTTCTTCAGAAATTGTCGAAGAAATTGAGATGAAAATTAATCGCCAACCATCAGATCGATGTAGGGGAATTTACGTATTCTCGTCAATCTAAGCAGCGTCCGAACTTCTATTAGCGATTTCTCAGCGTCACACTCATACATGACAGGTTTGTTTGTTAACATTTATCTGCTGCTTGCTGTTCTACCAATTCCAGTCGACAGAATTGATCAAAACGGGTTGAACATGTTTTTACAACGCTCCAAACTTCTCAGGTGAGTGTGACTATTGTCGGCAGTCTCTTTTTCTTCGGCACCTTTTCCATTTGAACTGCGTGTTAACCAGCTGTTCTATTATCGGCAACTCGAAATCAGCCGTATTTTGTAGTGTGTATATTTAATTTAAAGAAAAATATGGCAGAACAGGATTGCACAGTCGTAAAAATATAATCAGATTGAAGCTGAAAAGGTAAGGAATCGGCTTAATACATTCAGCGAAGAGTTTTGATGGGAAAATACAGTGAAATTAACGTTTCAATTTCTGTTGCCGAAAACAGTCAATGGGTGCCGAAGCCATAATTTACCCTATGTGACCATAATCAGGACAAAAGATTGTTTTTTCTTTGATTTGATTTCCGTCGATCTTGTTTCCATGCTGAGCACCAATGCTACCGAGGCCAAGAAGGCAGCTCCCACACCTACTCTACTATTGACCCATCAACTCATTAACCGGGGACCAACGGCTTTACTTCCCTTCCGAAGAAAGGCGTGATCAGAGATGTTATGCCTCAGAACATCCCGACTGGGATTGACCCCAGGCCTGCTGTGGTGAGAGATAATCACGCTTACCACTACACCATTGGCACCGCTCAGGAAAAGGATATAAAATAAATTATTTTAATTTGGGCACATAAACCCAATGCAATTAATTTCCATCATATATTTAACTGTCCTTGACAAGCGACAATAATAATAATGACTCGATCATCCGGGTGATTCAATTATGCGGAGTGACTTTTTTTTTCTTCAAACCTCCGGATAATCGAGTCCAACCTGTACATGTCGTATTTTTTCTATCCAACCATAAAAAAAAACTTGGACTCTAAACAAAACCCGACCATTTATGATTTTTTAGTCCTCGATAATTTTGCCATGATGACTTAGAAAATGTAAATTATCTCGTTTCGGGCATCGTTTTCGAAGTGTTAAAAAATTTACATTTTCTAAGTAAAATGGTAAAATGTGTAACGGAAAATTGGTAATCTTTGAAAAATCATTGCTCAACAATTTATCGATTGTTTTTAAATGTATTGATCCGAAATAAGTTTAAAAGTCTGTAGTTTCAAATAGCCATCATATTTGTTAATTCGTTGTACATTGCAAGTTTGCTGTTATACATTTTACCGTAGGCATCGTGTGCAGATTGTTAAGGAAAAGAGAAAATACTATTTTTTCAGATATTTGATAATTTAAGTAAAATTAAAAAATATTTTTTGAAGTGCTTATCAACCTTCGTGTTTTTCGAAGACTCTGTTACATCTTGGTCTAAGTTCGATCATTTAGCTAAGGGTTTCCAACATTTCCAACGTAAGATGGATCAAGATCGAACACCGCAGACTTGCAATTCAGTCACACCTCACTGACTTGATGGAATGCAACTCTGCCGAAGCCACCACCGAAAAAAACCTGGTTAATGGAATTAAGCCACACACACACACACACTCAAAGTGTATCGAAGCGATGACTACCGAACCTAAAGCACCCGTCGGCGACGACGGCAAAAAAGAATCAGGGAAAACATAAACGCAATGCTGACCTTGGCCTCCACCTCAAAGCACATACACAGTGAAGTGAAGACGGTCGTCACAAAAAATTTACTCAAAAATCGCCATCCGAAGGACATGGGCCGCAATCATTTGATTTAATATCTATAAAAGTTGTGCCTGCCCAGGGGAAATCAATCACAGTCGATTCGAATCTTCCACCGCTCGGAGTGTGGATTTTTTTAGAAGGAACGATTAACAAAATACAATGAAGGTAGGATTCCCCAAACGATCTATTATTTAAGTGAAGTTATTACAATTTTCTATTTGCAGATCTTAGGAACGCTTCTGGCCATGGTGGCCACAGTGATTGCACAAAATTTCGGTCCAGTTCATCCCTTAGCAGAGCAACCACAATACGCACCAGTCCAGCCATTGATACCGTTCAATGTCGCCCCGGACGGATTCTATGGTTACAACCCCTACACCAACGGCGTAGGACTAGGACCTCAGCAAGTTCCACCGATGATCCCGGCCTACAACAACTTCGCTCATCTTCCATACCAGTTCCCCGTCGCTTACCCTCATCCGGCTTATCCCAACCCGGCTTATCCTCAATATCCCGTCTTCCCACAATTCCCGCAGCTCTTTCCTCAACAGCTACAGCAACTCCCCAGCCCCTTCCAACCAGCCCTCCATCCGGCTTTTCCCCAACAGATCATCCAACATAGTGCACCTCAACCGAATGCAGCCGCCGTACTGTATAACAACTACCAAACTCAACTACCTCCTCAGCAGCCACTGACACCAGCCATTGCCCAGGTTCAAGGCGTGAACGGACTAACGAAGCCAGTGACCACTCCATTCGGGAGCGGCAACCAAGCGTATGGATCCGCGTTTGGAAAGTACGTGGCAGTTCCTGCGTCCACCTCAAACAAATCAGCTCGATATGAAGCCGTCAGCGGAAGTACAGTGCATACCGCTACCCTACCGGGGCACGAAATGGACTACAAAGTTGTTAGTGGGCAACAAGATGCTGCTGCTGCTACCACAGTTCCCGGAATGCAGTGATTTTTTTGAAACAAAGTGTTTGTGATAAGTTGAATTAAACTGTTAAACAAAGGTACAATTTATGAAGGATATAAAAAGTTGTGTGTGGTTGTGATGTATCAGATGACAGCCATCCATTTTTGTGAAATGTCAATTTAGTGATTTTTTTTCTTCTTTGGTTTGTTTTTTCCGTCGATCTTGTTTTCCGTGCTGAGCACCAATGCTACCGACGTGCCAGGGAGGCAGCTCCCACACCTGGACCCTACCTATCGACTCATCAACTCATGAACCGGGGACCACCGGCTTTACTTCCCTTCCGAAGGAACAATTTAGTGATGGGAATTTAAAAAATCCAAACGTACAGATAAATACAATCCTCTCATCTTCGGTTTATGCTTCTGGTTTCGCCTAACTTAAATGATGTATCGTATTCTTAACAGCAGCAAGTTTGTAAATTAACATGAGGAACATTGATGTTTTTCCCTGCCAATATTGAAAGATAGAACAATAAAGCTTTAATTTATGAAATCGAGTAGTTCCAGGTCACAAATTTTTGATCTCAGAATTCCATGAAATTTTAAGAATTGTTCGCCAGGGCAAATGAATCAACTTTTTGCCTGAATTCGGCCATTTTTTTCCCTCTGTTCGAGACCTAACACCACTGCGACCAGTAATTTGATCTATTGTTTAGTACTTATTTTTTTTTTTTTTTTTTATTAATTTATTTGTACAGGCTCAATCGAATAAACTTTACAGAGCCGAGTTATCATTTGCATTATACATGATTCATGTCTTAAATCTAGAGTTAAAGGAATTGAACCGATTACTCGCGGTCGTCTCGAGGTTAGTGGAGATCTACAATTTTTTTGGATGGGGAAAGGGAGAAGGAGGTTTGAAATATGATTTATTATACAAATATTTAATTAATCCTAAAACATGAACTTATTTCTATTCATCTTGAAGACAAACATTAAAAAAAAAAACTACACGCACAATACACAAACTAAACACAAGGTTAATCAAACTTACAATCTAAGGTTAGTATTCTTAAAGTAAACATATATGAGTTTCATAAACTCCAGATCACGTCTAGCCAAAATATCCCGAACTGGAACATTAGGTTGTCTACCTCGAGCCCGAAGGGAATCGCATAGCTCAGATCTGACTCCACGATGCTCAGCACAAGACCAAAGGATGTGATCGGCGTCTTGGTAACCTTGTCCACATTCACAGAGATTGCTGTCTCCCAGCCCAACACGAAACAAGTGAGCGTTTAACGAATAGTGATTGGACATGAGGCGAGACATCAGACGAATGAAGTCTCGACCCACATCCAACCCCTTGAACCAAGGACTCTTCGACACCTTAGGGATGATCGAGAATAGCCATCGTCCCAAACTTCCTTCACTCCATTTATTTTGCCAGCTGGCGAGCGACTGTTGACGATAAATGAAGAAAAATTCATTGTAGGCGATTTGTCGATCGTAAATATCGCCTTGCATAGCGCCCACCTTAGCAAGTGAGTCCGCCTTCTCATTGCCCGGAATCGAGCAATGAGATGGGACCCATGCAAAGGTGATGACAAAAGATCTTAAAGATAAAGCACTCAGAAGCTCTCGTATTTTCATGAGAAAATACGAGGAGTGCTTTACCGGCCTCATAGAGCGAATAGCCTCGACAGAACTGAGACTATCCGTAAAAATAAAATAATGATCTGGTGCAAGTGAGGCGATCGTTTCTAGCGTATAATGTATTGCCGCCAGCTCAGCAACATATACGGAACAAGGAGCTTGAAGCATTCGAGAGGCGCTATGAAATTCGTTATAAATACCAAAACCAGCGGACGCCTCTATTAATGATCCATCTGTGAAGAACGATCTTGCGGAATCAACTTGGCCAAACTTTGCAGCGTAAATTGACGGAACAATCATGGAACGATGATGTTCTGGGATCCCATGAATCTCCCGCGTCATAGATAAATCAAAACTAACTGAATTGCCGAAGTCGGAGAAGCATACACGATGAGGATTATGCTGTGAAGGGCTGACATCCTGTGTTATGTACACGTAGTACAATGACATAAAACGAGTTTGAGGGTTCAGCTCAAGAAGCTTCTCAAAGTTTTCGATTACCAGTGGGTTCATAACTTCACAACGGGTGAGGAGCCTGAGGGACAATTCCGAAAACCGATCCGATACTGGCAACATGCCCGCCAACACTTCGAGACTCATCGTATGAGTCGAGTGCATGCATCCTAACGCGATACGAAGACAACGATACTGGATACGTTCCAGTTTGATGATGTGCGTTTTAGCCGCCGACTGGAAGCAAAAACTACCGTACTCTAAAACCGATAAAATCGTTGTCCGGTACAACGTTAGAAGATCTTGCGGATGAGCTCCCCACCACGTTCCGGTAATTGTTCGGAGAAAATTGATCCTTTGTTGGCATTTTCGTCTCAGATACTCAATGTGGGATCTCCAGGTGCATTTGGAATCGAACCAGACCCCAAGATATTTGAAAGACATGGAATGAGTGATCGGTTTACCCAAAAGTTGAAGCTTTGGTTGTGCTGGGCTATGCTTCCTAGAAAAAACGACCAACTCAGTTTTCTCCGTGGAGAATTCGATACCTAGCTGGATAGCCCAAGTAGACAAATTATCTAAGGTATCCTGTAAGGGTCCTTGCAGGTCGACCTCTTTGAGCCCTGTCATTGACACTACTCCGTCATCTGCAAGTTGTCTCAACGTGCAGTTGTCACTTAGACAATTGTCAATTTCTCTGACGTAGAAATTATACAGAAGGGGGCTTAAACATGAGCCCTGGGGGAGACCCATGTAGCTAAATCGTGAAGCTGTAGAGTTTCCATGAGAAAAGCTCATATGTTTCTCTGACAGCAAATTGTACAAAAAGTTATTAATTAATGGGGAAAGGCCACAAGCGTGGAGTTTGTCTGAAAGGACTTCAACCGATACTGAATCAAAAGCCCCCTTAATATCCAAGAACACAGAAGCCATTTGCTCTTTTTTAGCAAAAGCCAACTGGATTTCTGTGGAAAGCAACGCGAGACAGTCGTTCGTTCCCTTACCCCTACGGAAACCAAATTGAGTATCTGAGAGTAGGTGGTTCGTCTCAACCCATTTGTCGAGGCGAAAAAGGATCATTTTCTCCAACAATTTTCGAATGCACGATAACATCGCGATGGGACGATACGAGTTATGATCTGACGCGGGTTTTCCAGGCTTTTTAATGGCTATAACTCTCACTCGCCTCCAATCATCTGGAACAATATTGAACTCCAGGAACTGACAAAACAAGTTCAACATGCGCCTCTTAGCAACGTCTGGGAGGTTCTTCAACAAGTCGAACTTGATCCTATCAGCCCCCGGAGCCTAATTGCGACACGAAACGAGCGCGAGTGAGAGCTCCAGCATTGAAAAAGGCTGGCTGATCTCGTCTACCGAATTCGTCGTTTCGCGAGGAATCATCTGTGCCGGCACGGAATCAGGACATACTTTTCGCGCGAACTTGAGAATCCACCGATCCGAGTACTCCTCGCTCTCGTTGTTTGAAGACCGGTTACGCATCCGTCGCGCCGTGTTCCAAAGCGTATTCATCGACGTTTCGCGCGATAAACCGTCCACGAATTGCCGCCAGTATCCGCGTTTCTTGGCTTTGATGAGGCTCTTGAGTTCGTGTTCAAGAGTCGAGTACGCTTCGAAATACTCGGGTGTTCCGCGTTTCCGGAAAAGCTTAAACGCGTCGGACTTTTTACGATAAACCTCAGTGCATTGCTGGTCCCACCAAGGGGTAGGAGGTTTCCTACGAAAAGACGTTCCTGGAACCGGCCGAGTTTGAGCTCGAAGCGCGCTGTCCAAGATCAGATTGGAGAGGAAGTTATATTCCTCCAACGGTGGAAGCTCTTCTACCGACGACACGGCTTCATCTATCGCGGTCTTGAACGTTGTCCAATCGATATTACGGGTGAGGTCGTACGCGACGTTAACGGATTCCGACGAATTGAACCCACTGGCAATCGAAATGCCGATCGGCAAGTGATCACTACCGTGGGGATCCTGGATCACATTCCACGTGCAATCCAACGATAATGAATTAGAGCAAAGTGTGAGGTCTAATCTACTTCCATTTGAGGATGGACCAGCCAGACGTGTTACTTCTCCATTGTTAAGAATTGTCATATTGAAGTTATCACAGAGGTCATATATCAAAGTAGAGCGGTTGTCATCATACAGTTCCCCCCAGCCTGTACCGTGGGAATTAAAATCTCCCATAATCAACCGTGGAGTAGGAAGAACTGAACAGATATCTGAAAGTTGTTTTTGACTAGTCGAAACTCGGGGAGGAATATACACAGAAGCAATACGTTTAGTACTTATATCCCGTATCTTTAGTTTACTCCATCACTATTGAGAAATGATGAAGTATTCGATTTTTTCACAGTTGTCATTCTTGCATTTATCGCTAGAATCCGACTCTAATTGAAAGGTTCCGCTATTTATACCCTTCGGAGTGTTGAAACACCCTTCAAAGGCACGCCCCTTTTTCAGTCAAAATTGGATTTCTTAGCAACAAAATTAAGGAATAATACCTATAATGACCATGCATCAGAACCCTAGTCTTAACCACTTCAAACCTAGGGAACAACGAATAGAAGATTAGGAATCACATAGATGAAGACTAACTCATTTTTTCCTTGTTTATAAATCATCCTCGGTCCAAGCAACCCGAGGACTTATCACTATAAACAAGGCATAAAAAGTAACAAGAACTAAGATTACTGAAAAATCCTGTTTCCCTAGTTTGAAGTAGTCAGGACTAGGAATCGGTGGTAGTTTTGTCGTAACGTACCACGAAAAGATGATATACCCACGTTAGGGGGCGAATTCGGCCATAATAAAGGCCCAAACGCAATGACAGCGGAAGCGGAACGGCAGCGGCAGCGGAAAAGCCCGATCTGAGTAAGCCTACTTGTCGGATTGAAAACTAGTTAGAACCAAATC